AATTGTTACTACCACTCAAGGTAACACTGGCGAATCTAAACAATGAATTGTGTTGTAATATTTCAAATGAATCCCCCATTTTAAATATAGGCTACTTCATTTTCAAAAGACAAATATTGCCTTAAACTTTGGCATGAGGAGTTATTTTTCTAGTAAACAAAATAGTTTCATATAGCCTCTGTTATAAATAAACTACTTAAACCTAGTACATAAAAATATATTTCATTAAGGAATGTTTATCTTATATTTTTAACATGATACTTATTTTCTATGTGAACTATATGGTGTATTAATGCAATTTTTCCATAAGTGTCACAGTGATTTGTTTACTATATTATAGTGGCACATGGAGATTGAATGTCCTGCAAGTAAACCCCTAAATAATAAATAAATAACAGTTATGTTATTTAAATAATTTGATTTAAATACCGTATATACATTTTGTGCATATAGAACTGGTTGCGCATGCTGTGTGTGTCCTGTGGAGAAAAATGCAGATGGTCCCTTAAATGCAAAAAGTGACTTACAATGAAACAATCTTTAAAGTAGAAACTTTTTCGCATTTTGTATTCTTGACTGAAAAAAAATAAATAAATAAAGGTTTGCGTTGGTGAGAAAGTCAAGGTCACAGTTACAGAATATTTATGAGAAAAATTGTGTGACAATTACAGAAGCAATCATTTCGTGAAGCTACATAGAAAGTACAAAACCACAGTAGTGCTGAGCGATAGTCAGTTTATATTTAGGGAATGTTATGCGTTATGTGGGTTTTCATGACATCATATATTTATGAAAGGGACATGATATTTTTGACTGATTTAAAGAGAGTGGCAAGTTTCAATTACAATCTTATTCAGATATCCTTTGGAATAAAAATGTCATTGGTAATTCATATTTTTTTTAAATGATAATGTATGATTTACAAGGCACAACAAAAGTGATTCTTACAGTCATTTACAGTTATATATAAATTCTATAAATTGTAAACATAATAAGAGGATGAAATAAACGTTTTAGTGTTGTAACTATTAATATCTTGCACACAGCTACTGTATAACTGAATATTTAGGACTGAGAGTAGAAGTCAAAAAACAGCCATAGAGAAATCCATAGATTCAAAATCCAAAAGCCATAGATTTAAGGGGATAGCCGTCGCTGTATAGATTCAATGAAATAAAATGCATCTCTTTCCATCCTTGATTAAAGTATTATAATCATAAAATACCACTCAGCACTACTTTGTAAATAGTCAACAGATGCTTAATATATATATATATATATATATATATATATATATATATATGGATAATAATTACACACTGCAGATGCAGAGTTACAATACATATGTTAAGGGCTGATGCTTGAATTAAAATACCATTTAAATTTAGTGAATCTAATCCATTTATACGTACATGACTTTCTTGGGAGACTGAGAACATAAATTAGGATTTCAAAATGAACTGAATACCAATCTGATAACATTAATGTTCGATTCTGGTCTAGCATAACATGATTGCTGTATACGGTTCATCATTTTCACTTAAAATGAAAAGCAAAGCATTGTGTGACGGCTATTGGTCCACTTTGTAGTCCAATATAATGGGGTTCCTATAAGGGGTTTAGAATAGAGAATTTCAATGTCAAGTAAGTTCAAATATGTTGTTCTACAGCATGAATTACACAAAGTCAAGGTTGAAATGTGGCACTTGAAACTTAAAAGAAATGCTAACAAGTTGTTACATAAGAATATAAATGTCTATCCAATTTATCATGTGGTCCTGCTTTACATTATGTATCTTTATGTACTAAGTGCTCTCTTCAATAGATCTATTGGTGTAATGTTTTTGTTTTCAAGTGTTCAAGTTGTAATATACGGCGAAAGTTAGGGACAGGTTTAGTTGTGTGGTTGAGGGATAGGGTGTAATTACAATGTATTTACATGTAGGTTTTTTTTATAAATAAGTACAACATTAAACATGTATACACATTAAGTGCATTGATTCAATCATAATTGAGTTTTTATGGTAATGAAAATAGACTTAAGTGAACACCTAAGCCTTTAATATTATATTAAATACATAATAACAATGAGACAACAATATTTGGTTAAAAAAGTATCAAAACCAAGTAATCATATGGTTTCATAACACGGTTCAAATACATAACAATCATCTTATGTACATTATGTATTATAATGCCTGGTTGTCGTTACACTTTACGGCAGATCAAATCCTTGTTTAATTTTGGCCAGACGACATTTATTTTAAATGTTTACTTAACCCTTAAAGACCTATACAGCCGCCGGCGGCTAAAAATAACTGTTGTTCTTAAATGTTAAATAACTTTTGAACCGCTGCTCCAATCCGTATGCTTTAAAAAGTCCCATAAAGAGGAGATTCGCGGCTTTTCTGTGATATCGGGTTAATCGCGTTTGGACATTCAGAAGCTCCGTAGTGAATGTGATTGCGTCATCAAGTTTTGATCAGCATTGATTCGTCAAAGAAACCCGTGCGTTTTTTTTCCTCTGAGCCAATCATAAATGACTGTTAATGCTTAGTCCCACCCCATCCCCAGATTGGTTAAAACTATCATCTACTCAACCAATAAATATAGTTCTTGGTCTTTTGCACGACCAATTAGCATCTTTCTTTAGAAATTTGAACAGAGGTAAAGTCAAAGTAGTTCATATAGGCTATGTATGTAAGTGTGTGTGTGTGTGTGTTTATGTATATATATAGGTTATACAGGTTATATAAGTTTTATTTATATATAAGTTTTTTTTTTTGCTTCATTGTTCTACTACAATGTTTCTATTTATGTAACTTCCTTAACTTTTTTGGACACATCTAAATTGTCAGTATGAAAAACACTGTTTTCACTGAAAATCGCCTATCATAATGTTGTAATAAATGCCTATAACTTGCTTAGGGATTGTTGCATGTAGTCAAAATTACATCTGGAAATGTAAAATATCCAAGTACAGCTTTCTAAAGGAAAAAATCCAAACTTCAGGAGGATTTGTTTGAGTTGAGTAAAAAAAATCACTACAAATATGCTGCTGTTTTTCTTAAATCTGGTAAATTCATCCATTCTAAGACATATTAAATGTAAAAATGGATTATTTAAATGAGATAAATTGAAACTTCAAGTTCTCCTGATAAAAATGATATATGGCACTTGATGCTGACTGCTATAATGGGTTAGAAAAACAAAGAAAAGAACAAGCGGTGCAGGTGCTCCAAAAATGGTCTAGGTCTTTAAGGGTTAATGTTTAATATTTGGCCACTTATTTACAATAGAAATGCTACAGACACTGTAATTTCTCGAACAAGAATATCAGGATATCAAAATTTACAATGAGGGTTTAAACTTTTAGTTTGAAATCATGATTAACCTATAGTTCGCATATTTAGAAACATGTTTATTCTAATGCATTCTCATCCTAGGGCATCATATAGTGACGCTTTTGACATTTCGTCAGAATATCAGGACATCAAAATTTACAATGAGGGTTTAAACTTTTATTTTGAAATCGTGATTAACATATAGTTCGCATATTTAGAAACATGTTTATTCTAACGCATTCTCATCCTAGGGCATCATATAGTGACGCTTTTGACATTTCGTCAGAATATTACAACGTCAAAATTTACAATGAGGGTTTAAACTTTTATTTTAAAATCGTGATTAACATATAGTTCGCATATTTAGAAACATGTTTATTCTAAGACATTCTCATCCTAGGGCATCATATAGTGACGCTTTTGACATTTCGTCAGAATATCAGGACGTCAAAATTTACAATGAGGGTTTAAACTTTTATTTTGAAATCGTGATGAACCTATAGTTCGCATATTTAGAAACATGTTTATTCTAACAAATTCTAATCCTAGGGCATCATATAGTGACACTTTTGACATTTCGTCTAAATCCAACGCACATGGCACCCTTTAGCATCAATATACCACCCAGAGCTTTGTTCGGTTATGGGTAGGGTTAGGGTTAAGGTCAGGAGGCGCCTTCTGGCCCATATATATCTGCGTCTCATATTGACGCTAAAGGGTGCCATGTGCGTTGGATGTATACGCATTGTCAAAAGCGCCAGTATGACGGCTTGAGACGCATGTGAATGATAACAGTTCACGTGGAGCAGCGTTTAGTGTGAACTGAGGCGCTCTGAGACTCAAATACGTAACCTACATGGATTTATTAATAATTATTTATTAATTAATATAATTATTTATTTATTAATTCTAATTATTTTTTGTTGGGGAGTAGTTGACTACAAGTAGCGACGCTACAAACTACATTTTTCAGTAGCTTGGCAGTAGCTCAGTTGCTTTCTAAACAGTGTAGCTTTTCCAGTAGCTAACTACTTTTTGCATCAAGTAGCGGTGTAGAGCAAACAAAAGCTAAATTGCGTTTCTCGAGCCTGCGCAAATCAGCGCGATACAAGGATATTCTTCTCCTTGTTAGATTACAAACTCATTTTTTGCCATTACCGCCACCTGTTGTTTAATCACGCGTCTTGCGGCTAACGGTTCACTGACGTACAGAAGTGGGTTGACACACCCATATTATGATTATCCGTGATCGAGCAAGACGTGACGGCAGATTAGGAGGATGGAGAAACAACTAACGTTAATTACCCATGGCCTTATTTGTCCAAGTTCAATCAGTATTTTTGAGAAAATGTTCTACATACAATTTACGTTGGATGTATATTTTGTTCTTGCAATGTTGTAGGCTATTTGTTGCAATTTTGCACTTTTAACAAACAGTCTGAGATATTCGAGTGTTGTGTGTAATAAAGCAATACTCTTTGAAATCATAATTGTATTGCATTGTTTTAAACACTAAATATTTTACTTAAAACATTCCTCAGACACTTATTCAGTTATTTATAATATACGTAAGCAAAAATAGTTTCAATGTAGCTAGCTACTTTTTGATAGTAACTTGTAGTGTAGCTAACTACTTTTCCAAAAGGGTAGCTTGACTGTAGTTTAACTACTTTAACTTATGAGTAGCTTGTAGCTTGTCCAACTTCAGAGTAGCTTCCCCAACACTGATTATTTAATCGCTGAATCGTGATAGCCCTAATTTAAATGTACATAGTAGTACTTAATATAAAGTGGGTTCCACCATGCATACCGGAATTCTTATGTAACAACTTGTTAGCAACCACATGAGATATGAGTGTGTGTAAGGTATGGTATACTGTAGAACAAAGTGGTTGGTGCTAATGTTAACCATAAATGTTATTATATTCAGAAATGGAAAACTACCATTCTAAAGGTCCATCTTTATCCTTCAACTATGTTCATAACCTCTTTTGGTCAGATTGAGTGGTGAGATCATTCACCACTGTCACACATGAACTGCTTGGACAATGGACAACACACTGACAGTGACAGTCGGACAAATTGTGACATTGCCTACAACGCTAATAACATTCATGAATCATTTCCGTGGTGATGTAAACTGATTATATGATCTGGAACAGCCAATGCTTCCATCTAGAATGGCTACACAATCCCCGTTTCGCCAAAACGGCACTTTCGGCAAGCTCTTCCCTTCGGGCGCAGGGTTTCCCCAGGTGTATAGGGTTGATTCGGAAACAAAGTCAATGCTTGGTCCGGTGATGAAAATGATCAGAATGATAGAGATAAGTAGGACATTGGTCCACTAGTGTACTTTCTGCACCAGAGTTCAAGGCTGGCACTTCTTTGACCGTCCGCTCGACTGCAGTTGTTCTTCTTCCTCCCAGTGTCTAACGTGGATCTTCCCAGCGGCTTGGTCAACGGTGGGCCGGTGTTGGGTCTATCAGGACTGGCAGGGCTGGTTGGGCTGTTGGTGGCCGAGGTTCCTTCAGGAGTTCCCTCTGTGATCTCGATGCGTGGGGGCTCCATCAGGTCGAAAATATTGAAGGCAGCCGGTTCGGGCTGACACATGACTGAAGCGTCCGCAGTGTTTTGTCTCACCAGACCGTTAGCACCAGTCTGGACGCCAATGGACACCCTCTCGCTCGACTGAGCGGAACTGGTGCTGGTGGCAGCCTCCCGGCACATCGTCCACATGTTGTAGCACTGTGTGAAATTAAAGAAGTTGCTGTTGAAAGTCTTGAGCTCTCCGCAGACGTCCCTGCGCAGCTCCGCCAGCTCGTAGCGCATTGCCGATATCTCCTCTTTCCACTGCATGTTGAAGGCAGCCACCATATTTGCAGACTCCTTGAAAGCCTGAATAGCCTGCGGGACGGGGGGATCTGGTGGAGGCTGGGACGGGGGCGGACATGGGACTCGGTAGCCGTGCGATGAGGTCGGCGGAACAGAGATAGCCGTGACCGTGGAACTGGTGCTGTGTTGACTACGTCCAGCATTTTCTCTTTCAAACCTCTCGATTTCTTGATATGCCGAGGAGCTGGCGCCATCATCGTCCTCAATATCCTCATTTAGCAATGAGATGCCCTCCATTGCATCATACCCCTCTGGAAGACAAATTTGGATATATAGAAATTCAGAGGGATGAACAGCTGTGGAATTTGGCCAAGCCTCTCACTTTATCTAACGTCAACACTTGTTTTATGTCTCATATTAGCAGTCTCTGAGTAAAGGCCATGTACACACCATTCTCAACTGCATAGGTTTCATTTTTTAAGATTTTGATTTCATCAGAAAAAGTTTTTGGGAAGTCAGTTTTGGTGTTAATGCAAAGGAAGCATGTAAATGTCTGTTTTACTAAGAGCTTGGGTCAGCGCAAACCCTCTTTTGCGTTAAAAAAAACTGAAAAAAAAAAGACACTAAAGGCGTGGGCACAGTCATTTTTGCGACTGACCTTATTGCATATTATCCATTTGTAGGAGTTTCCCTTCCATGAGCAACATTTATGGGAGGCGTCCATTAAAATGAATCACGCAAGGTGATTTAATAAGGTTCGCGCTCTTCAATGTTCTGGTGTTTACGCCATTATTTACCGCCCCCCAAAATGCACATCTTAAAGGGTTAGTTCACCCAAAAATGAAAATTCTGTCAGTATTTACTCACCCTCATGTTGTTCCAACCCCGTAAGACCTTCGTTCATCTTCGGAACACAAATTAAGATATTTAAGATATTAAGATCGCTCCTGCATACTATTCCATAGGCTTCTTGAGGGAATGACTCTTGCTGGCATCGAAAAGTCATTAAAGACATCGTTAAAATAGTCCAAGTGACTACAGTGGCTCAATTTTAACTTTATCAAACGACGAGAATACTTTAGTGCGCAAAAACAAACAAAAATAACGGCTTTATTTCAACTATTCACTTCCTTCTCCATGGGCCTGTAGTCAGTTAACGTAGTGTGATTGCATAAAGCTACGTCACACGTAGGCTCACTATTGGCCGACGCTGGTCATGTGTGTGATGCGTGTGACGTACAATAACAGAAGCTTACGCTATTAAACTAGTAACCTGACTCGCGCAGAGGGAGAAATAAACGAATAGTTGAAATAAAGTCGTTATTTTTGTTGTTTTTTTGCGCACAAAAGTGTTCTCGTCGTTCGATAAACCTTAGATTGAGACCCTGTAGTCACTTGGACTATTTTAACGATGTCTTTAATGACTTTTCGAGGACAGCAAGTCATTCCCTCAAGAAGCCTATGGACTAGTATGCAGGAGTGATCTTAATATCTTAAATATCTTAATTTTTGTTCCGAAGATGAACGAAGGTCTTACGGGGTTGGAACAACATGAGGGTGAGTAAATACTGACAGAATTTTCATTTTTGGGTGAACTAACCCTTTAAACCAGGCGCTACCTGGTAGATTGCTTTGGTCATTATGGAAACGATCCGACTCTCTGTGTTCTTTAATTTGCACGTCGTCAGTCAACACATTCTCATCCCAAGACGTCATCTAACTGACGCTTTTCAACATCTGACGGTACCCTTTAACGTCAGTTAGATGACGCTATCCTAGGGCGTCATGTAACTGACGCTTTACCTTTAGCGTCAGTTAGATGACACGGGTAGGTTTAGGTCTGGGGTAGGGTTTGGATTAGATAGCGTCATCTAACTGACGTTAAAGGGTACCCTAAAACGTCGGATGTTGACGTATGGTCAAAAGCGTCAGTTAGATGACGCCTTGGGATGAGAACGGGCTGTGTCAGTAGATCAAGCACAGAACTATCCACTCCAATCGGCGATGTTTTGGAATTGTGCTCTCACACTAATTTGTCCTGTTTAGCCAATCTTGTCCTATGTTTATTGCAGGGGTGTTGGAAGACCTTTTTTCCCCCCCCAGATTGATGTGCGGGGCCCAGTGCGAGGTAGCGGAAACAGGGCTGTCCTTGGTACTTTCATCACACGGGGCCCCCCTCAAACGCGGTTGCAACACCCTAAGGACATATTCCATAATATTCCAGCTATCCTTTCATGCGCTTTATATCAGCTGTTTAGAATCACAACTAGTGATTCCAGATTTGCAAATGAATCAAAGTTTGATCTAATCGGACAAACAGGAATGCGAAAAGGTCCAAAATTGTTTGATTTATCCGGGTAGTTTACACACATACTGAATTGTTTGCAGCGGTTCCTCACACTGAAATAGAAATGGGATATTTCACGTGTCAAACTGGAGGGTCCAAAAACAAGTGTAGCTCCAAAACACCTTTTTCTAGTAATCCTGATTTATATTTTTTTACTTGATTAAATGGTTCAGCTGTGTTTAATTAGAGTTGGAGCGTTGGTTGCCCTCCAGGAATTTGACACCCATGGGAAATTTTATAAGACAGTAAACAAAAAGAGTGCTGGATGAGATTGATATTTCCCTATAATACTTTGTACTTGTAGGAAGCAAAACATCTTCTATCTTTCAAATGTCTTCTATTGTCCTACAAAGCAGCACTATCCCAGCTAACCATTTCACGATCTGGGAACGTTAGTTTTGGGTTCCCAGAATGTTCCCCATTGGTTACCCAGGAAAGTTTTCTTAACATTAATAGAACGTTCCCTTAAGGTTTGGGGAACGTTCTGGAATCTTTATGGGAACATTCCTTTTAGGTTATAAAAATAGAACCTAAAAATAACCTTCAGGGAATATTCCCAGAACATTCTTATTTGGTTCCCAAAAATGACCAAATGAGAACAATACAGGAAAGTTAGGGAAACGTTCTCTGTTTGCTGGGCGCATGCAGCTTGTGACAGACATTTATATCCAAACTGTTGGCACACAATTTTTGATTGTGTACTGTACTGACGAAAGGCTAGAATCGCCACTGTTTTAATGAAAGTGTTCATTTGAAAACCAAAACTGAATATTTATTGCAGTCGAGCACATGGTGTTGTCAGGGTCTTTCACTTTTTTACTCACATACATTTAGCCTTCAGATGTGTGTTTACACTGCCTTCTCACTCGCGTCAGAACATCTCATCTGTTCAGCCTTTCCATCTCTTCACAGCATAACCATTAAAAAACAATATTTCAACGCTATCAACCAGCTTTTATCCGTTTAACAAATCACAGAGCATTGTGGCAAATGTGGAGGATTTTAGTTTTTGTTTTGTTTTGTGCAACAGAAAAGATGAAAAGGCAATAAAATGTCACGCAATCATTCAAGCAAGGAGATATGAACCCTATTGAATATGTTAAAAGCTCATCTATCGAGCTGATTGGACCATGTGGAGATTATAGGGGCGATATTTAGAAGAAGTACAATCCAATAGCATTGTTAGGTCTTTGTGAGGGCTGCACCAGGCAGAGGCTGCAATCCCACTGTCCATCACAGCTGAAATCTTCCACACCAGCTCTTACTTCCAACCGCATTTTGCTGGCCATGTTTGATCTTCAAGGATGCCAAGGTTGGTATAAAAATGAGAAAAATGTTAAGTGACCCAACCATTAAAAAAAAAAAAACAAAAAAAAAACATTCTAAGAAATCCTATCCATCCAGTGTCATAAAAAATAAGGAAAATTTAAAACTAATTGCTTTTCCCATTCAGTCATTAACATGAATGTTCCGAGTTCAATTTAAAGGGAAAGTTCATTTTGAAATAATTTTTGGATGTTTTAGCTTACCTCAAGCGCATCCAAGATGTAGGTGTCTTTGTTTCCACAGTATTTTCAATTTTGATATTTTTAGGTCAACTCATTCTTGTCTGTCAGTCATATAATGCAGGTCTATGGTCGCCATAGATCTGCATCGTTTTTACATGAGGTAAAAACAATATAAATACTGTTCGTTTTCTCACACAAACCGCTCGTTTCGTGTCTTAGGCCATCAATGTGTACTTACATTTACGAGTCATTAAATCATGTTTAATTTGGACTTCTCTGTGCATGCTCTTTGAGGTGGTGACCATAGGCATTATATGACTGACAGACAAGAACGGTTTGACCTAAAAATATCAAAATTGAAAATACTGTGGAAACAAAGACACCTACCTGCATTGGATGTCCTTGAGGTAAGCTCAAACATTTCAAAAATCCCTTTCAAAGTGAACTATCCCTTTAAGTTATAGTGACACCATCTGCAACATGATGTCGATTACCACAGAATTTCAACCCATCCCTCAAAACATGCATTTGCACTTACAGGAATATACTTACAATGAACTTCTGGGGCAAAGCTTTACACCAATATAAATACAACTGTTGCAAAAATATCACCACACGAGTTACTGTAAAAATAACATGAGACTAGTGTGATAATATTGCTAAAAAAATATTATCTTCACATTTGTATTATTTAAAACCTTTTAGAATGTCTTGCCCCATAGACTTTTATTGTAAGTGAAGTTTTTTGTTATATAGTCAAAAACAAAAAATTCTGTGGCAATCAACAGCATTTAAAAAATAATAAAATAAAATAAATAAATGAAAAATAGTTGTGAAATGCCTTTCATGGAAAAGCATTGCTACTTTTGGCAACTGAACACTGTTTGTCCCTGATCTGACCTTTAGTTATGTGTCTTTCAAAGGACTAGTCCTGATTTAGTTGAGAAGGCAGTGCAAAAACACACATATCCATTGAAAGATGTATGCGTGTTGACATTATAATACCTGTGACAGGCATCCCTCCAGCTGCTCTTTTCCCCTGGATCTCCTTCCTGTGATGGCCAATGAGGGGCCATGCCACCCTCCCTCTCTTTCCACCATCACAGAAACACCCAACACCTTACTCAATATGTCCCATTGATTTTAGCCGCAACTAAATTTAGCTTCATCTACTTGGTGAATCTATGGGGTTTGCTTGATAACATTTCTCTGATAGGTCAGTGCTTTTGAAGTGCTTTTTCTATTAACTATAGAATCAGAGAGCATCAATACCAGAGCTTAAGCAATTATTTAAGATTTTAAAAGGCTTTAAGGGAAGAAAACATCTAATTTGGCTTCTAACACATACACATAGTATGGTTATTTTGGTAAAAACCAAAGTAGTACAGGACTGCTGGAACAAGAAGGCCTCCAGAGTGAAACAGACTGGATGAAATCCTTTTGAGAAAATGGTTTTGTCCTACAGCCGGTTGACGTGAGCTGACAGGGATTGCGTTCAGAGCCATATGTGGTGAAAGCACTTCAGCAGAGTGAGACGGTGGGATTGGAGAGCTCTCCTTTCTCCTTAGAGTCTTCAGTGTGTGGTCAGTATGAGTTTTTGACAGTGTGAAGGTCCAATTAAATCAAACTCCAGTTTGAATAAACACAAACAACCCCACATTTAATGAAAGAAACAACGTTTGACTGGAGTGACCAAACAAATCATACAAAAACAAATTAGCATTTTGGTTTTCAAAATGTAAACAAATGAAAGAAAAAAAAAACATTTTTATTGTCACAATATTTGACATCAGATTGTGGTATTTCAATAGGGTTCATAGCTTTACTCCATGTGTACACCAAACACAGCAGGGGTGTCGGGGAGGGTGTAGAGACGGGCATTCTGTTTGCACAAAGACACTGTGACACATGCACACTTTCGGATAAGTATGTGTTGCACAAAACCTCCCCACCTGCTCTGTCAGGACTCCTTAAACTCATTTAGGTTGGGGGAAATTACTCATTAGAAAGGATTAATGGTAAAACTGGATTAGGATAATGGGATTTGTTTTCAGATCCAGTTTTTGAATTCATAGAGAGATTATTAAATCATTATACTCAAGCTAATTCAATTAGCACATTAACAAACCACTGAAAATTCACTGACTTCTGAATTTAGAACTACAATGAAACTTTTAGTCTTTTGATGCAAAAATATTCAACTCAAATATTCATTCATAATTCAATCCAAGCCTATTAAATAATTATAATATTTTTTTTTATAATAAGTAGTTTTGTTTACAATAAATCAATATTTTCTATAAAATGAAGGATTTACTGCATGCTTGATTTAGTATACAGAAATAAATTTATCCGAATATAGCTGCAAGCAGCAATTAAGGGGCCAAGCACAAAAGAGGGAAAATTAGTCATGCCATCATGGCTAGAAGCATCAGACCAACTGCAACAATGATCAAGTAAAGACATATTTAAAAAAAAAATCATCAATACAATTATATGTCATATAATATGATGGTTTATCACTTTTTACCAATAGGTGGCGCATCATGTCATAACATATTTTTTGATGCGTTATACAAAATGGGTTTTGTCAATCGACACAAAATCCATTACTTTTGTCGGCATAGGATTCGATTTTGGTGAATTCGGACCAAAGGTCTAGAAGTCGTCGAAAAAATAGTTTTTTAAAGAAAATCAAAACGGCCTACGGCTAAATTTGTATCTATATTCTTGGCATTAACCAAATAGTCATTAAGTTTCATTACAATAGGCTAATTTTATCAAAAAGTCATTTCTGGAAATTTCATTATAACTTTTGATCACAAGGTGGCGCTGCCCTGAAACTTTTTGAGTACCGCCAGGGCATGTTCACAGGCCAATTACACATACCAAGTTTCGTAAGAACATGCTAACGTATTCGTTAAATATTGCATTTTATGACAAAATCCAAATGGCAGATGGGGAAGTTTGTGAGTATTTGACTCTGCGTGCTGAACCAATGTTTGATTGAGTGATTTTGGGCCAAACCGTTCAGAAGTTATAAGCAAAAAGAGTCATTTTTCATATCTCCAGACCACTAGGTGGCACTGCTTCAAAACTGTGCAGGTACATGTACATTATGGTTTTTCATAACAAACCAAGTAAGGGAGATAAAGCCTCTCATCCATTTTGCCGTGCTCTTCATCGAGTTGACAAATCAACTTGAATTGAACTTTTTGTAAGCATTGTCTAAAGATGATCTGGTTAAATTTGTGTGAAAATCAGAACAATGGTCTATGAGGAGATTGAAAAAGTAGGGTTTTTTTTCTTTTGAAAATTCAAAATGGCAGAAATGTTCAATTGAACCATCTTAAGCCAAGGAATCAGAGGGGAAAAAAATTGGTCAATTTGGACAGTTGGTGGTCAAAGTTCAGACTGTCCTCTATCAGTGAGCTAAATTTCATAACTTTCCCGTAATCGGTTCTATGGGCTGCCATAGACTTCCAGAGCGGAACAATAAAAATTCTTAAGTACCTTCGGTGCTTGGCCCCTAATAAACCGATTCAATTTACCTAAATATTATGTCTTGAACACTAATTAGCATTTAGTTTATGTAAGAATGTGATATTTCTTTCGAGGAGAACTTAACACACAAGCGCATATTGCTCTATGTTTTATTGAAGGACATTTTCTTTTTAATTAGACATTGGTTTTTAATGAAAATATTTGGATTCAAATGACTTCCATAGCACTTTTCTCTTTGACCCCCGCTTCTGAAGCATTGTGAATTTCTGTCCACTCACTAATGTTGATGTTTTATGCAACACATTAAATTGTTTATATAGTTCACAGTCATTGCTTTGTGCATTCAGGAATGAAACAGCCTTTAAAGTTAACTAACCTGACCCAGAACATTTATTTTATTTCAACTAATAATCAATGCAGAAAACACAACCATTTGTAAAATATAAAGAACATGTCTAAAACCTGACGCTCTGTTCTGCGTGGAAACACTTCCTCATTGTGAGTCGCATGCTCTAGACAGCTGTGCTAGTTAAAAGCATGCTGAGATGTGTCTTCAGGGGTGTGAGATGTTACATATTCAGCTGCCTAATTCCCTCTGACCCCCAGTCTAGCCTCTCAATACGACCAGACCCAACCAATCAGAAACCCAGAAAAGGACGCATGACTCGTGCAAAAGGGAATTGCAGGCAACCGTCTTTCAACACTAGGGGAGCACAGACGCAGAAAAGCAAACACACACACACACAACAGACATGAGCCGACAGAAACAACATTCAAATCAGTCATCTCTCAAGCACAAGGGAATCCCACTGTACATATGTAGGTATGCCAGAGTATGTAGTTCAGCATGTGCTGAATGTATAGCGAGTATGTGCTCTAAGCCTTTTCTCTCTCTCAGGTGGGATTTGAGGCATACGGTTACCTGTTGTGGATCTGAGAGTTGAAGTGACAGTAGAAGATGTCATTGAAGGCAAGCAGTCATCATCTTGGGAATACCCAGCCTGAATTGCACGCAGGTAACTGTGGCTTCGAGTGCGGAAAGAGCCGGGCAGGTCCAAGGCCTCCACGGCCTGGGATTCTACTTCGCTAAAAACGGACTCGCAAACTGACTCAAACTGGCCATTGACCTCAGTCTCACTCACCTGAGAGACAAAAACAGGAATAGCAGTCCTTAATTTTTCCTCTTCCTTTCTCTTTCTCACTTTGATTCTTCCCCTTTGCACAGTAAATATGAAGGAGTGTTAGCAGGAGGAATATACCACTGGCATTTTCCGACCTTGAACGTCTCAGTAGAATTATGTCAAAAAGCAACAAGATAAGAGAAAACATTTCAAGCTGGAATATCATCTCATAATAGGTGAATAAAGAAAAGCAGATTGTTTGATGAACTTTCGGAGGGAAAATGACAGTCAAAACAGTCAACAGCAGCAGACAGCAAGAAAGCTTGACGTGCAAAGATTTGTATAAACTGAGCAAGAGGATAAGAGGGATAACTGTCCTATATCAAACCAAATCAACATTTAGCTAATTGATATAAAGATTCTAAACCTCAATGCAACTCTTAAATTACTGCCTGTAAGTCACCCTTGCACTACAACACAAGTTTAAACAATTACTTGTTTAATGTTTGAGAGTTTCATAAAGCCTTTCATTGTAACCGACTCCATCAATAAAAGCCTATAAATAGCTACCTACATACGCCACCACAGCTCAACAGACCTTGACTTCAGCTTTCTGGAATTCTAAAGCTAAATTCTAAAGCTAACCTCACCATTTACATTTACCTTATTGCCTCTCTAACCAAACATGGTAAAAAACTAAGTTCTAAAATAAATATCTCCAAAACCCTTTTGGGAAAATCAGGTCATACGACCAGGTCATTCATCTAAGTCAAGTTGGGTATTGGAACAGAGTTAATCAGCTCAACCTACTCCCTACTAGCTTATGGTCCAATAGCTATAACCAGGATGACCAGATACTGGGTCTCAGTGGCCCTGTCAAATGGTAATTTGGGGGTTTCAACCACCTAAATCAAGTTTGGTAACACAGTTAATCAACTCAACACATTCCCCAAGGCAGCCTACCAATTCTAATCGGGTTGAACAAGATGACTTAGCAAGTCGTTCTTTGCCCGGCTAACTGGTAATTATAGTGGTTAACCACCTACACAGTTTTGGAACATACTTAATCAGGACAATCTGTACCCCACTAGCTTGGCAAAGGCAGTCTACCAACCCAAGACCAAGATAACCTACCAGGTTGTAGTTGACCCCAGCTGGTAGTTCAGCTAAGGACTACATTTGGATCAGCTAATGACTAGTCAACCACCCAACACCTTACAGTTGTTTTTAAGTGGAAAGTCCTTAATCAATCCCAGATAATATAAAGTCTACAGGAAGCCTACTCTTCAGCACATCAGCTCAAGACACAATCTGAGAAAAGAGCAGGACAACTTAGACAAGAAGTACAGCTAAAGCCCTAGGCTTAAAACCACTTACTGTAAGTCCTTGCTTGTACCTGTGTGTCAGTGCCGTGTGGTGTTTCGAGTGGTTAGACTCACCTGGCTGACACAGCTCGCCTGACTGAAGGTACTGACTGCACGCATGTAGCTCTGGTTTCTGGAGCGAAACTGTGGAGGGTTGAAGTTGGTTGCTGGATCCAGAGACACGCTGGGGTGAGGGCGCATATCTCTCGCTGTTTGCAAGTGGTAGCCCGAGCTAAATGGAGGGAACAACCAAAAACTAATGTAGCCTACTCAAAATTAGATTGAAGGATCACTCTGGAATAACCATCAATGGTGAACTTTGGGAAAACTTTAAAGATATGATTTGAGATAAAGTGACTTAGTTAACAGGTTTACTGTCATGTGAGACATTTCAAGTGTGCAAACCTGTAGGCCACAAATGAAAGCAGATGAACACAAAATGTAAGATGCAGCAAGCATCCAGTAAACTATTTCCCCAAAAAGTGCTAAAGAAACATACAGTAACACAGTATGGTTTGGATTAGTCTTGATTCATCAATAGTAACTCACTAATACTACATTGGACTTTAAATGGTATGATGGCCTAACCCAGAAAACCTGTCATGAGAAAGACGTTACATTGAGGCCTCAGAAAACATGTTTTTAGTGCTTCTAGTCTCAGTTCAGAACCATTGACAGCAACTATCTGTCAGCAGAAAATGCCAGACAACCATATGGACAGGAGAGAAAGTGTGGAGAGAGCGAAAGAGAAATCGGATGACACTTTTGAAGCCTCTAACACTTCCTCACTGCCAAGCCATCTCAAACATCAATAGCATTCCCTTCATCCTCAATTCTCTCATCAGCAGCTAATGCGTGAAATCTCAACTACTTTCATAAGAACATGAAAAGAAAAAGTAAGCTTGATCTTAAATCCTTTATCCATATGTAATTTCTGGGGTATTCGAATCAACAAACATTATTGTTTTTTACTTACTGCTATTGGAAGGACAAACAGATCCCACTCCCAAATAAACAAAATTGATTGAACCAGTCTTGCTATGTTGACTGTTTGGGATGCTCAAACAAACCTTTCAGGGAAATCAGCTTTTAAATGGTTTAAAAATGCAATTTAAAGGGTTAGTTTACCCAAAAATGAAAATTCTGCGATTAATTACTCATCCTCGTGTCGTTCCAAACCCGTAAGGCTTTTGTTCATCTTCAGAACACAAATGAAGATCGTTTTAATCAAATCTGAGAGCATTCGGTCCCTCCATTGACAACCCTACCACTTTCAATCCCCAGAGAAGTAGTAAATCATAAAAGTAATTAATGTAATCCAAGTGGTTTAACCTCAATTTTATGAGTGCTTTGTACAAAATGTTAATCTCCAACATTACATGATATTTTGTAAATAAAGTGGTAAATTATGTTTTTATTTTTTTGTGGAAACAAAACACTCACATCGCTTCATAAAATTGAGGTTAAACCACTGGAGTCACATTTAATGATGTCTTTAATACCTTTTTGGAACTTCAATTTGGTAGTTGCGTAGGCTGTCAACGGAGGGACAAAAAGCCCTCAGATTTCATTAAAAATATCCTAAATGACACCCAAAATGACATACTTTTACAAATGTGTACTTATGTTAATAACTATTCATGATTTCAGATTCCGCTGAAAACAGTGATAACCTGATACCCGGAGATACCCGGCTTGTATACACACCGTCAAAGGCCAATGAAATCGATGTTGTTTGGCAGATTCACAAGCAACAACCAATGGAAAAATTGCCGATGGAGAAATGTTTTTCTTAACCAATCAGGGTAAGGATACCATGACTATTTCTAGCAAATCGGAAGACTCTGTAGCCTTGCAAGGGGTGGTACTATAGTAAGGGATATGACGCAAACAGCGTCGAGTGGTGGAGGAGACGATAGAAAGCGAACGGACGCGTCGAGTATAAACAAGGCTTTACAAAGCGAGAGCATGCTGAGATTTATATGAGAGAGGGACAGAAGAATTATAATATATATATATATATATATATATACATACAATTATAGCATTATTTATTATTTTAGATCTTTTATGATGGCAAGCAGTAAACGATTTACGGTGGAACGGGCTCTGGAACAATTACTGGAGAGTGACGAGGAAAAAGCATTGCTTAGAAAATTCTTAAGCATTTCTAAGAAAAACGCCTGGGACTATTTGTAAATAAAGTTCGATTTTTCATCGTTCTTTACACATTTTATTTAACAATTACATTTTGTAACATTTTTGACATTTAACAATGTCTGTCAAGCAAAGACTTTTACAAATATATTTTTTGTTCAAAAACTGTTCACTATTGTTGTGTGATGTGTGATTTTCAGAAATAAATGACAAAAATCGAATTTCCGTTTTTGAAATTCTCTAGTATATTGTAAATTGTTCACTCATACTTCCTTTATAAACACATTACATGCATGCTTATGCTAGCTTAGGGTCTTCCGAATCCATAGATACCAAACACACATATGTTAGTGTTCCATCTCCATTAAATATAGTTTAAAAGCCCAAATGTAAAAATAGAGAAAACGGACCAAAAAGGCCTTAGTTCCCAGAGGGTTAATCAAAGACTTTTCTTTTTTTGGGTGAACTAATCGCTTAAAACATAGGAGAAAGTGTTTTGAAACATAAACATGAAATAAAACATTATCCAAAGGCCAGTCATATAATCTCCTCCTACCCTATATAATATCACCACACACACCAGCTAATACTTTATACCACCAAATATATATATATGAAAAAAATATACAAGCAAGTAACGTATGCCTCCTTGTGTCATGCAACCCACACACAAGTTCTTAGAGAATTACCAAGAATGAAGGAAATGGCCAGAGATTAAAAACTCTGCATGGACTACAATACACAATAAACAGTTTAGAAAATGACTTGTGCATTTAATGATCAAAATAAAAATAAAAAGTTTAATGCAGGCAAAAGCATGAGGAATGCAGTCAAGGCTATGTATTTTTATATGGTGTGGAAAGGAATGGAGAACATGGTACAGTGCGAGGACGTAATAAAACAAAAGCTGGGATTTGATTCTGTAATTATCTGTAATAATAGACATTAATTCCCTAGTTGTTAGCTGATTAATTAGGCTGAATTTACTGAAATAGAGAACAAAACATTATGTTGGTGCTTTACTTTTATTCACCTAAACCATAAAAGAAAGAGCTACGGCCTACAGACTTGAGTCTATTAAATGTCAATGGTTAATATATAGGGTTAGTGCGGCCAGTGAACTGGAAAGCTGTTGAGATTCATTTAACTGTTGCCCTTCAGTAAGATACCAGGTTATTCCAGGACTGCCATTCCTCAACAGAAGTGGATGTAAAACATCTGCTAAATGACACATAACTAGACTAATATACCCCAGTGTGATCAGATAATAGTGATTTAAGAGGCCTCCCTTAATGAGCTTTCACATGAAGGTTAAAAGTAAACCAAGAGAAACAATTCCAATATATATGGCTTTTTGTTATTTTTGAGCTTGACATCCTGACTCCCCTTACTTTTATAAAAGAGACCAATATATATATATATATATTTTAAAACCTATGTTATACAGAATAAAGACGTCACATATGTTTGGAAAGAGAATAAATGGGTAAAATATTCATTTTGGGTGAGATATTTGTTTAAAATAATCTAAAAAAAAACCCAGCAAACATTACATATAAGTTGTTATTATTATATTATTACATATTAATTAGTTTATTCTAAAATGATCAAATTAAATAATGATTAAAAAAACAGTCCAATGTGGGTGATCACATGGTTACTGATTATTTTACCTTTTTAAGAAAGTGTCCACACAGAACACAAATGTAAAAATGAATGTATTTTACTGTGTCATCAGCAGGTATATGAACCCCAGCTTATGGGTTCAGAGTGTGCAAGACAAGGTGAGACACAGAGCAACTATATTTTGGGAAATACAAAGTTTGCTGGTGTCTCTGGACCTTGAGCCTCATGTTGTTTTCCATTTTCAGTGATGTCGCCTGGCACCTAAACAGATGCCCTTCTTATCACCAGTGTGACAGCAAATGAAAATGCCTGTCTGGACAATGTCCAGACACAATCCTTAATATCACACAGAGCTGTGGGCTAGCATTGGGGAAAGTTACTCAAAGAAGTACTCAGTTATCAATAACTTCAATATAGTTGCTCTTTTTGAACAGTTCACAATTTTACTATTTTATGTGCCCATGTTGCTCTATTAAATCCATTGTGAATGTTGGTGATTTGTGGACTAGAAAGCCTTTTGATAACTTGTTCATTCATAGCACAATGCTTCTCCTGGTTACCGTCACCACTGTTTTATCTGATATGGGTTGTAACAGAGAATTCTGCAGCAAACTGAATGCTTCTTACAAGATCTTGCAACAATGTTATTAATTCTGCATTTCGTTTTCCATTTAATGCTTCTCATATGCAACAGAAATGGCAGCTGGTGGTGGTGGTACCAGTGCAAACTCTAACAAAGTTTAGTCGCAATGGCAGGAAAAAGGTTTGTCTGGAGGCCTGTCCCCTGCAGCTGGGTTTAGAGAGTTACTGGGTAAACTCCATTATGTCCTGCTCTCATTTGCCTCCATTTCCTGAGTAAGGCTAAGGCTGTATGTTCACCCTTGGATGAGTGGCAATACCGAGGGTTGTAGCCTGAGGTGCTAATTACTGTGTTTTTTGCATGCGCCTTTTGGTAGGATGCTCAAGTACCCTTTAGGGCAAAGCTGGGTGAACTGAACTATGATGGGCAATTCAAAAGCATTCAAGTTGGGTCTTGAAGAAGGTATGTATGCTCCCTTTTGTTGGGGTGCTTCTATAGGTCTCTTCAGAAGATCAGTATTATACATTGATGAGTAGAGCCGTTGGTGTCCCTCCTTGTGATTGTAGAAATTTATACTTTAGCCATTAACCATAGTGAGTCCTGGAGAAGGGCGTTTACTCAAGTCAAGGTATGAGATGTTCTCCCCTACTTACTTAAAATGAAAATGACATACGCTCCAGTCAAGATTTGACCTGTGATCCTCACTGATTTATTATGAATAATGCAGAGAAAAGCCCAGAATGTCCTCTCCAGCCACCAATCTCAAAAATGCCTTTTAGGCTTTCATGGTTCTTTCAGACATCTTTCAGTTGATGTGTAATTCAGTCACCATTTTGTATTTGTGGGCACTCTGTGTGTGACGTCATGGACTCCAGTCTGCTAATGATTACTGCCATTTGTTTACACATGCTTCAGACACCAGACATCCTTATGCCGTTCCCCATAGCGGGTTGCAGGAACCGGGAACCGGGTTGCAAACACAACCTGAGACAACTTGAGTTTTTTTTATCAGGTTTGAATATGCAAAAAATAAAAAGTTGTCATTTACTTCAGCCTCATTACAATAAAACATAATCATCTGATTACAGTAAAGCATTTCTTTATAACGAGTTACACCAAACACTGCAGGCCTGTTTCATTCTCACTGTTTATTAAACCAGGGAGACAATAGTGATATTAAATTCCCTAAAATACAATTACCAAACTCTGATCTGATCATGTTATCCTTGATATTCTTATGTGAATGGCAACATTAAGAAACACATTAGTTCAGTAAAAGTTTAGATGCTCCTAGCATGCTATTATGTATTCTTTCGCAGACTACAGAGAATTTCACACAAGCATTTGCATTATAAGACATGGCTCTTATAAAACAACGGCATGCCTGAGATATTGCATCTGAGATTTACATTTACGTTTATTCCTTTTAGCTGACGCTTTTATCCAAAGCGACTTACAATTGCTATACATGTCAGAGGTCACACGCCTCTGGAGCAACTAGGGGTTAAGTGTCTTGCTCAGGGACACATTGGTGTCTAACAGTGGATTCGAACACAGGTCTCTCACACCAAAGGCATCACCACCCCATCTGAGATATACAGGTAATATGCACTTAATTAAATTGACCTAATGCTGTTTAGTGACGTATTTTGCCCATAACATCTCATACTGCACTATAGATGCAGTCTCCCTGGGGTAATGTGGGTTAAGTGTCTTACAAGAAGGGCACCATAGTGATAAATGATGAAGTCAGCAACTCTCCAGTTCCTGAAACACACCTGCATGGGGCAGAATCTACAATCCCAAAACAAAAACGCATCACTGCTGTCGTCAGCAGTCGTGCCTTTTCAAAAAAAAAAGAAAAAAAAGAATGCTGTCGCTCTTAAATACTGAGATGGCATGAATGAGTGAGTGCTGTCACTTTTCTAGTTTTAAAGTGCACAGAATAATGACTGATGCATATTTGAAAAGCAGAGCTGTGAATGACAGCTGCTCAGGTTCTGTGAATCTGCATGGAAAACCCAGACAAGATGTTGTTTGAGGTTTGTGTTGATTGTGGCTGGTTGCCAGGGAGTTGCCACACGGTTGTTAAAACATTCTGGTTTGCTATGATGCTTGAGTGCTTTGGCTGGTCCAATTTTAAACATCTCCAGCTACAGCTTCTGTATAGACCCTTTTACAGTTGGTAAACATGGTGACGTTTTTTTGTGGGCGGAGCTTAGGTGGAGGCAGAAAGATCCATCTGGCCGCTTCACTAACGCTAGTTAGCAAGGATTGTTAGCTTGTTTTTTAACAATGACTGGAGAAAATACAATATTATCTTAATGTGTAAGGTTACTCAGTGTCCAGGACCGCGATTGTTATTTTCAAAAGTTATTTTTAACGGACGGAACCAGATTGGTCGACCCGTAGCCGTCTACACGCTCACTCAATGCATGGACGATCTGACAGGATTAACATACGTTACCTCGGTTAAGTGGCCTGACTTATACACTTACAGAGAAACCGATCGTAAAGAGAAACTGAGGGCATATAAATCTTTAGATGCCTATATGGTCCTGTACAAGACTTGTGTGTATGATCCGCAGTTCTGCCGAGCCAGCGCCGAGACCACGACAATGTAAAGAGTGACATTACAGTGCGATTTTAATGATGTGAATATTTTCTAGAAATAAAAGTTCCAGATACAGCATATTCATTTTTCATCAATTCTTGCACCAAACAACACAACAAGATGACATTTAATAATAATAACAATTATTAAAGCTCCTTATTATGTAGCCGAATCTGTGCTGTTTTGCATTGGCCGCCAGCAGTTTTCACATTTTAGTTTTGCCTCCAGCTAGCGCCGTGACGTAACTGTGACTTCGGCGCAAAAGGGGTCTATACTCTACCGGTCAAAAGTTTAGAACAATTTCAGATTTTTGTAATGTTAAAATGTTTTAATTTTTAAATGTTTTTTAATGTTTAAAGTCTCTTATGCTCACCAAAAGTGCATTTATTTGCTCAAAAATACTTAGTGTATTTATGGTCTTGGGGATGCGGTGCACTACGTCAAAACGTCCATATATGTTTGGTGTGTATAGACACATGCTTCAGACACTGGCTCACACAAAGTGTTCCCAAAGTTTCCAAACCATGACACATATTCCCCTCTTAGGGAACCAGGCTACATATGTAAACTAAGAAAATTCTGATTTCCTTTTAGTCGTTTGCTAAAATCAGTATAGGTATTAGCCAAACATTGTTATTGCATCCCTAAATAAACCATTTATCTATAGTCACCTTAACATTAAAAAAAAATATTATATCTCGATTATTATTATGCATTTTTTTGTCCATAGTAAATCAAATTAAAGGAATTCTAGAGTTGATAAATAACAGATATACTGTATATATCTATATATAAATTTTCTTTTTTTTTTTCATTACTCCAATTTCTTATTATGCTGAGTATAAGAGAATTCTTTCAAAAACATAAAAAATCCAAAAGAGTCACTGAAGACATTGCAGATGGACTTAAGTCTTATGTCTGGACTAACAACAACTAATCATAATATTTCTGCAATGCTCTTTAAAATGGATTTTTAAAATATTTTTATGATAGAAAATCCATCATATAAATAATAACTATGATATAAAAAGTATGATGATCTAAACAACTCAATGTAAATAATAATTGTGTGTCAATTACCTATACCATTCTTTACTATTCTACTATAATGTATGTACTGTATCCAGACAGTGAATTCCCAGGGCTAAAAGAGCCACAAAAAAAATATGCTGATGACAACACAGCAAGTTAAAATAATATAAAAGAAGCAGATGTTAAGAGAAGCATGTGAACTGAAACATATATATCAAAAGCATAAGCAGATGATGTACATTGTACAATAAAGCAATCTGATCCAACTGTTTGTTACAAAACGATCCCACCCCTCCATATTGCACTTCATATTCCAAACCACCAAGATCCCAAACAGATCATGTACCAGAACCACAAACAAGATCTGAGGTACAAACATAATATGCAATATATAACATATACAACATACTCAGCCCATCAGACACCAACATCTACCTTTAAAAACTAGAGAAAACCAGCTAATTCTAAAACAGTGCTTCTGCAAACACACCTGGAAAGAGCTCAAGCTTCTAAAACCGAGAAGAAGAACAGAAAGATAAACAACAGGCAGGCAGTCAGTGTGTGCACAACGCAGCGTTGAAAATGAGAACAATAAAAATCGAATCAGACTTACCTTTGGGTGTCTATATGTGGCCTCTGCAAGGCAGATTTGAGGACAAGGGCGTCGGACCGCACAATCTTCTGAGGTGACGTCTTGGGGCTGGTATCAGACTCACCGCTATCCTCATCTCCCATGGCTTTGACGTAACTACTGCTCCGCATCCGGCGGCATGGAATCTCCTCCTCCCCTGGATAACCCCCCCACTCATCCTGAGGCACCTGCAGATAAACAAACACACACCATCAAAGCCTGTACTCGCACATAGAGCGAGAGGACGCCGCACCTTTCATCACACATCACATCAAGCTGTTCGTTAATCCCACCGGCTGCAACACTTTCCGCCAATGCAATCATCATGAATTCCAGGAACTCCCAGAAGTCTCAGTGGCTTTATTATTGGCAAGTATAAAAATCCATGCATTTAAAATGATGTAATTAAATGTACAATAAATTGATTTAAAATATGTAAGAAAGTTAGTAGTTGGTGCCTGGATTAAGAAAAACAGTTCAAAAGTTGCTTTTAAAAATGATTTGATAGATTATTTATTTAATTGTGTCTATATGTACACTGATGAACCAAAAGATTACACTGGACCTTGGAGCAGAGGAAGAAGGTTGCATGGTCGCAAGTTCTGTCGATATCAGCGTAGTTCAACGAGTCTGTGTTTCCTGAAACCATCGTTCCAACGAACATTCGCAAACAGCATCGCAAAGTTGTGTGGTTTGAACGACAGCTCTCGACCTGTGGTTAGAGGCATCGTTTCTATATTGCAACACTTTTGGACGTAATAAATTCTTATCTTGAGCAAAATAAGCAAGTTGACATTCAGTACAACCGGTGCCTTTTATTTAGAATACATACAAATGAAATTTACGTCTTTTAGTTTTTCAAAAGATTTAAAGTAACGTGTTTGAAGAGTGCGCATGTGCGAATGTGCTCTACTATGTAAGAACGAGCCAAATATTGAGTCTGGTAATAAAGCAGAACATGTCTGCCGCAATTTATATAAAACAAATCTAGCGTTAATTGGATCTCAAACAGTTTCATTAAAAGTATTTATTACTCGACCATGTGCGAAACCAACGTGGTTGAACGATACTTTGCGACAGTGGGTTTCGGGAAACAGTCCTCACTATAGCTAGTTGATTTCTCCAACGATGCATTGTACTATGGTAGTGAAACAGCGAACTACGTCGTTGTACGGGAAACACACCCCAGGTACACCCAGGGCCTAAAACTAACTGTTTGCCACACCTGCCATTGGCTGGTGACTTCAGAAAATGTACCTGCCATAAATACAGTCTCTTTTACCGGCAATGAAACGGTAATGACCCCAAAACTTTAGATACCAGTAAGAATTCACAATTCTCTATTACAATGTTATACCACAGCTAAAACTACTAGACCAGAGATGTATAAAGTACTAGAAACCCAGACTTGAGTAAAAGTACAAGTGCTCTATCAAAAAAGTGACTTGAGTAGAAGTTGAAGTGCTCTTTAAGCACCACACTTAAGTAGAAGTACTAAAGTATTCAACATTTTTTGTACTTAAGTATTGCAAGTAGCTTATTTTAAAATTCACTACTTAAGTACTAAAAGTAAAAGTACAAGTATTGTGTCATGTAATTATTAAAGAAAGCAGTCAAAAGTTTGAACTAGCAATCAAATAAGGCGCTTTGGCGGCCGCCAAAAAAATGTCATTGCAGGACAACCCCTGGATTAGTTGTCGATGTGTGTGTCAATCAATACCATTACCCTATAAAACTGGCGTGCGATTTAGGCAGCATGAAAGCCAACTTGCAACGAATGATTCGTAAAATGTTTATAATTGTAACGAGTAACTAGCAGAACATTAAAAAAATATAGAAGTAAAAGTATTAAATTCATCGAAAATATCTACTGAAGTAAAAGTAGAAGCATGAGAAAAAAAAACAATACTCTAGTAGAGTACAGATACAGCATTTTAGTACTTAAGTACAGTACTTAAGTAGTTCTACTTCGTTACTATACATCTCTGTACTAGACTCATATAAATATAAATTGTAAGTACACAGTCAGTAGTAAAATAAAAACAAATAATCAAATTACAAGCAAAAGCACAAATATACAATATAACAAAGATACAAATTAAATAAACAGTGTTTTTCAGGTAGGTCTGACAGTAGATTTCAGGTACAGAAATGAGCAAATGTAAAATAACTGCGTAGTCTTCACTATATTTAAACTTCCATATTAACCCTCCTGTTATCCTCAAATCTGATAACACTTTTTACCCTCTGGGGTCAATTTGACCCCAGTAATTTAAACCTCCACAATATGTTTATTTTTTTTTACAAAGGTTTGTCTCAGTTAGTTTATGTCTTTGTTGATTACTTAAGTAATGTTTTAAGTTGACATCCACCCACCACCCCCCTCCCCACCCCACCTAACCCCACCGAACCCCTTATACATCCAGAATAGCCATTGCACGACTATGGACAAATTTACAAATCAACATAAAATCTTACTGATTTGACCTAAAATTGGAAAATTATAAATACATCTGGTGTTTTATTTGTTTTATAATATTTCTAAGTATAGATTTATGCAATCTATGACATTTGGAAAGAAAAACTATTTATTTTATCAAGGATAGTAACACGAGTTATGTTTGGGGTCAATCTCACAAAAATTATGTTTTCTCCTCCCCCATGGCACGGGAAACATCAAATTTCTCACAAAAATGATGTTTTCCCCTCCCCAATGCACAGGAAAGAATTATTAGTTATCTTGAGAATTATGTCACATGTCATGTGAACTACTAGTAGTTCTCGCAATACTACAGATATGATTATGTTTGGTTAGAGCCCTAAAACAGAGGGACGTTTTTTGAAAATGATATTGAATATGTAAAATTACAATGAATATTATAAATTCAAATTATAACATGTTATAATGACCTCAATATAACAACCAAAACAAATGTGTGTGAAATTTTTATATTTCTTCTGTTTTATTATACAACTAAAAGAGCCTGGGGTCAAATTGTAAAATATCATTAATATATATATATCAAATTAATACAAATATCAAAATATATTGTATAATATCAAAATATGTTTACAGAGTTGTCCCCATTAAATTAGGAAAAGTCATTCAATTTGAAGCAAAAAAAAAAAAAAAAAAGATGTTTTTACAGACGTTAAACATTGAATGGGGTCAAATTGACCCCAAGGATAAGAGGAGGGTTAATGAATCCTTATTAAAGTTACAAAAGTTACTCAGTCAAGAGCAGTGAGTGATTTTTTTTTTGATTCACATTAAAAACAGAGCAGCAGGAATATTAGGCTTCTGTCACTATAGAATCTGATATACTGTTACTGTAGACGTGTGTTTAGTTACTCAACTGTTTACGTACACTTATGACATAACCAACTATGTTTACTAGGATACGTGCTATTTTTTGGCATAATTTGTTGTGAATTTGTCCGCTCAAGTGCAAGAAGACATGAAAGAGAGCTCAGTTTAGTTGTGGATTTCTGGGTGAGCATTTCAGATGATTGCGTGCCCAAAACTTTCCAGACAGCACAGGAGTAATGAAATTTTGAGTTTTTAATATTGAAAAGGCTTAAACTTTTGTGACAATGCACCGCTAGCCAGTCAGTTGTCCCAAGCGCCGTTCATGTTTGCTCGCGTTCATGTATTGTTAGAATTCATAAAAATGTTACAGGCCATCTTCCGAGTGACACCGTTTTATATAGGGCTGCACCATTATTGAAAATAAATAGCACACGATTTGGCAAAGGCTGCGATTATTTTATGCGCGGCTTGTCAGTGCAGCACGGCTCTGTTATCAGTAGTAAATGCTCATTAGTAAAAGCCAGAGAGCGCTCTCACAAAGCCAAATATGCACCACAGAAGTTGAAAACACAGGTCATTCCAGGAAATCCCAATGGGCATCAAAATTCGTCACGCATAGAAACCTTGCACACCGAGTCCGTTGCGTATTTATTAAACCTTTGCGGGAAAAAACGCAAAAATACCAAATGGATTCGTCAAGCAGTGAGGATGATTTTTGCCCTCCCTCTTATTGAAAAGAGAAGAAAGAGAACATATTACGTCAATCCAATCCTGAAATTGCACCGAGATGAAGGAGAGTTCCATATCAAGGAGTTGCGAATTTATCCTGAGCGATTCAAAATTATTACCTCAGAATGTCAGTGGGACAGTTTGATGCTTTGCTAGCGATTCTGGAGCCACATATTAAAAACAAGACCACCAATTTCCGTGAACCAATCGATTCTGAACGGAGACTGGCAGTGTGTCTGGTATGGACCAGGTATGGACACACACACACCCGCGCGTGGCCCGCTGGAAGCGATGGGCAGACAGAACAGCTAGGCTGTTATTATTGTGTATTGTGCCCAAATAATACATTAGTTATCGAATAGGCTGCTCGATCACACCTTATTCGATCCTAAATTTCAATCTGATTGAAAGGGGAGGTTTATTCATTTCATAATCCAATATAGAGAAGAGAACATAAACACTTGATCGAATTGAAAACCGAAACTGAAAGCACGGCGCATATGCAATGATTTGAGGACGAGCTCCCCCCGGCCCTGAATTGTCAAAAGACCTCTCAAAATGCTGGCTCTGGATGCGAAAAACGCAGAAAATCGAACCCGATCCAATTAATTTTATGACGGTCAAAAGTTTCGGAGGCGGTGTGCAAGCGTGACTGACATAACGTGAGGTCGAATTTTTTTTTTTACGTGCGAACATTTCGGATGCGAATTTCGGACTCAGTGTGCAATGGCCTTTAATGTATGTATAACAACATGAAGTAATTTTAGTTAATTAATCTTTTAGTTTTAATTACATTTTTAGACATTCTGAAAATGGTTTATTTGTCCATTTTTCCTCATTAATAAAATGATATTTGAGTCATTTTATTTTCATGTGGCTCTCAAATATCCCTCCAAAAACAGAGGCCAATTAGCAAGAGGTTATGAAGAGCTCAAAACACGGATCCCACAGAAGCTTATCTTGCCGTCTCTTGGTAGTAATTACAGATAGACTTGTTTATTTTGGACTAATTTAATCGTATAAATACATTACGACTTTTCTATTCTAGAAGAGATCAATAGCATTCATCTCAATAAATAGACTGAGATTCAGCATGGTTGTATTATGCAGGTTTAAAGAGAATATAAAGTGATACTGTATAAATGACAA